CCTAGCCGCCCTAACTGTGAAGTAGTTCTTGCGGATGTCTAATCTAAACCTACTCTCCAACAACTTGTGGCCGTTATTCCTTGTTACGCCAGGGGGCGTTAGGGGAAACAAGGTCTCTCCCAAACCCCACGAGCCATCAGACAGGTGGCCTTCCTCTGAACCCTTTCCAGGTTATCTACATCCCTCCTGAGGTGCAGTGCCCAAAATTGGGCACAGTACTCCAGCTGCAGCCTGACCAATGCCGCATAGAGGGGAAGTATCACCTCCTTAGGTCTGTGTGATGCACCTACTTATGCAAGAAAGAGTGCGGTTAGCTTTACTTCATCACATTGGTGACTCGTATTCATTTTGGAGTCAACTACGACTCTGAGATCCTTTTCCACAGTTGTGCTACTTAGAATGATTCCTCCCAAACTATAGGAGTGCTGATAATTCTTCCTCCCTAGGTGCAACATATGGCACTTATTTTTGTTAAACTGCATCTTATTCTGTTCCACCTACTTCCCCAGCCTGTCCAGATCTGCCTGGATTCGCACCCTGCCTGCCAGTTGTTTACCTCCCCCCATAGTTTGGTGTCATCTGCAAACTTGGACAGGGTGTCTTCTACTCCCTCATCCAAGTCACTGATGAAGATATTGAACAGTACCAGTCCCAGGACAGAGCCTTGGGGGGACTGCACTGCCCACATTTCTCCAGGTAGAAACCGACCCATCCATCACAACCACTGTCTGCGTGCCTCCCATAAGCCAATTTTCCACCCACCGGACTGTGTAATAATCTACGTTGCAATGGTATTGACATCGATAAAGAAAAATTGATGTCATTATCAACAATGGACTTTTTTTTTTGACTCACGTGGCTGATAATGTCACTGATAAATGCTACGTGCGTGGGCAGTTTGGAGAGCTGTGGCCAGCCGGTAAGTCTGTTGTGGGGATTCAGATTGAGGCCCATGTGGTAAGGGAGGGAGTGGGGCAGGGACAGGGCGGGGTGCAGGCTGGAGCCATGAGCAGCTCATCTGGGGGCCCAGGAAGGGGGAGGTGGTTCCCACTACTGGGTGCTCCCTGGATTTGTGTGCAGGGCAAGAGTGGGCTGTGGCCAGGGTCAGCGCTGGGCTCTTCCCTGCAGGAGGTTTCGGCCACGGTTGTGCTTTGGGGGGTGTAGTGGCAGCGCTGCGAAGGGTGGCTGTGGGGTGTGCCAGTCACCCCCAAATTTGCCATAGCTCCCCCGAACTCCCCTGTCCCAGTGCTGCCACTGTCTGCCCCAAGTGCAGCCCCGGCCCAGCCTCCCCTCCCCCACAAGGAGGAGCCTGGTTCTGCCCTCAGCCTGCCCTCACCCCATACACAGATTTGGGGAGCATGTGCCCCCTATGCCTCCCCTGATAGTAGCTGCCACCAGCCTCCCAGACAAGCAGCTTGTGGCTATATCCCATGCCTCACAAGCCCCACTCCTCCCTCACTGTGAGGGCCTCAGTCTGTCCTGCTCCTCCCCACCCCCCCACTTGCCCCAACAAACTTACCAGCTGGATGCTACTCTCCAAGCTGCCAGGTTTGCATACATCCATATTGGCCAATATGGCTTATTAATAATTGCCATCGGTATGGACCCAAAAAATCTTTATTGGTGCACCCCTAGAGATTAGACCTGATTACCTATCTGTCAGCCCTCTCGTGTCTCTGCAAGTTTGTATACAGTGTCAAGCCCTTACCTCTAAAAGTGCAAAGTTTCAAGAAAAATGAAGAAAGAATATTAAACAGCAAGAATCCACTTCTTGTAGAAAACGGTGGTTTAAATTGAGGCTTCCTGAACAGTGATTTATATCATGATTTAAATCAATTTAATTTAAATCAAACCCACTCTGATTGAAGTGTTCTTTCTAATGAGAAAAAAAAAAAAGAAATGTGTAGGGTCTTTTCATATGGAAGGATGTTGGGGCCCTGATATCTCATTCTTTTCTCCTCTTGCTTCAGTGTCTAGTAACTTCTGTAACATACAAGTAATAAGATCTAGTAGTTGGAGCCTTTGATGAATCACGCTGAAGGGAAGGTTGCATGTCTGGAGCTGTCTGCCGTACTTCCTCTGTATAGCAAACACAGAGTACATGGAAATTGAAGAGTAACTCTATAGCAAAACTGGGAAAATTCCATAGTCTAAACAAACCTATATTCATGTAATACCTTCCAGGCAGCAGTTTAAAAATGGCTGCAAACACATTAGATTGTCAGATGCACTTCATGACCCTTTATTTGTATTGCACAGTAAATTTTAGTGGCACTGCAGCAGACAGTGGCAAGTTTCACTATACTTGCAATGGCCTGTTTTGACTAGCTGTGCTATAGGGCAAAATGAATATTTTCTATCTTTGGGCTAATAAATAGGTTATTAAGCAATTGTAGTGTAAATTTTAAAACTTATGTTTCCCAAGTTTGTCTCCATTTCATGAATTTGGATTGACAATTGAATTGAAATGTTAATAACGAGCATAGTCTTGAACTGGCTACAGTTTGCAGCTTTTTGAAAACTTTTGTAATAACAGCTTTTTTAAAAAGCAGCTGAACAGGGGTGAAGTAGATTTCTAAACTCGTGTCCTCAGGCCAAGGCTGCTGTGTTGAACAATGTTAGTAATCTAGAGGCATAGTGGAGCTCGTTAACCTTCACAGGGTAGTCTCTCAAAGCCTGGGTAGCATATAAGTAGCAACTACTAATTGGTAGATGCTGTATGTGTAGTACTGTCCCTTGGGGGCAAAAATCATTTGTGTAATTCCTTTGGTGTTTCAGCCTTGTGCAGTATTACTCATTGCAATAATTAAACTTTTTAAAAATAATGGAAACCTTGTTTCTGATCCCAGTGTTTATCAGAAGAAGGAATTAAAGCTTCTTGTAGTGTAGCTTCTTTAGGAGTGATTTACAGCAAAATCTGCATTCATTGCTAGAACGTTGTGCTGCTGCCATACTGTGGGGTTGATGGCTTGGTGAGCCTAGAGCTCAAATCTCTTGCCTATGAGTACAGGGGACTTCCCAGATTGCAGGCTGCATGCAGCCTGCAAGGTGCTACAACAGCAGGCCCTGGGCTCTCTAACGTGCTTAATCTCTGTAGTCTCCAGAGCAGAAGTTGCTGTGCAGAAATACTCTGGTATGGGAGAGTTCAGTTTTGAAGACATAGGACAGTCTTATTTCAAGGTCTGTTGTGCCTCGGTGACTAAATGAAAGCAGTAATTAGCAAAAAGCAATATAGAGCTGATGGAAAAGGAAAGGAACTTAGTTTTCTGATTATATGTATTAGAAGTTTAGAACATGTATAAGGGGTGGAGGGAGCAATTGCTGACGAGACTAAGGGTCACAGACTTTTAGCGTATTAGGAACAAAAATCCTAATGATGTAACAGGCAGGCCCACTGCCAAGAAGGTGGTTAATGATGCAGAGAGCACAGAAGCATTCAATAAATACATATGTTCTGCGTTTAGAAAGGAGCAGGAAGATATATATGTATTACAGAAATAACAAAGGAAGATTTTACATCTCTACAAGAAACAAATATTTTCAATTGGTAGGTCTGAATAACATGCCCCCAGGAGTCACAAGTACTGTTTGAGGGGTGCTCTGGCCAATTCACTTGTAGTCTCTTTTCAAACAGGTTGTGGTTTTAATACAACCAAGTAAAGAGTTATATGTTTAAGAACAAAGACTGCTGCCAAACCTGCTTAACATGGAACCGGATTCTGAAATTTGGTGACTTTTCTGAGAAGGGTCTAGACTCCAGGGGTTGAAGCTGGACAAGCGGCTCAATGCAGGCTCTTAGGATGATGTTTCCAAAAGAACTAATGTACTCTGGTTGTATGAATAGGGATGGTGAGGAGAGAGATTTCCCTCTTCTTCCTGTGGTACCTGTGAAACTGATACCAGAATGTATATACCATTTCAGGATCTACATCTTTTGGAGAGGACACTGAAAAAATGAAGAGGTCAGAATAAGCCACAGATGGCTTGAGGGCTACAGAAAATGCCCTGTAGTGAAACTTAAGGATCTTGACTTATCAAAAAAGACAGAGTTCAGCTTAATAAGCTTATTAATGCCTTTTTATGCAGAGAAAGCACCAGGCACGAAAGGGATGGCTTGTTAATCTGTTTGGAAAATGACATAATGCAAATATGTGCCTAAAAAGTGAATTGGAAATTTGAAGTTAGGCACTTCCCTTCTAAACTTTAAAAAAAAAAAAAAAAAAGTGATTAAAACTCCTTTTTTTGCTCTTTCTATAAAGAGAAGTTCTAGTGGCCTCAGTACCTGGGTCCTGCAGTATGCAAGAGGTCAGATCTGCTTCCTTATTACTTCTTCTGGTCTTAAACTCTGAATGTATATTGTCCACTATAACTGTGTTCAGAATGTGAGCCCAAATCTGAATTTTTGTGCCCATAAACTGTCCCTAGGTTTTAAAACTACATGGAAATTACTTGGTTATTTCAGGCTACTGCTGTATTTTGTAGGCAAAAACTGGTTTATATTTGGAGGTTCGCTTTAGGAGTGTGAGGCTTAGAAGCACTCTGTGGGATGTAAGGTTTCGGTTGAATCTGGATGTCGTGCTGACTGGACAGCGTCATCCCAGTGGCAGTTGAAAATTAGCCAATCTAAAATGTTTGATCATAACAGTCTAATGAACATTAATTAGGAAAACTACAAAACAAAATCATATTTCTGTAGTTTTGTAATGACTGAATTTGAAAATATTCAATGTCTGCTACAGTTTTCTAACTCCTGCTTTCAACAGCTTTTTAGTTGACAATGCCTTCAAGTTGAGACTTTTTAAGAAGAGTTCTTTGTAATATTCTTCTTTGTATAGTACATTTTACTCTCCAAGATGCACCAAAAAACATTGATAAAGGATTTCTGGCTGTTTTTTATTAATATTCCTCACCTGAAGTGCTTAGCTCATGTTATCTATTACCAGTCTCGGTCTTCTTTTGCAACTCCTGCAAAATTTCAATGTCTTTTATTCCTGTTTCAGGAGCTGTTGGACAAATATTTAATAGCTAATGCAACTAATCCAGAGAGCAAAGTCTTCTACCTGAAGATGAAGGGCGACTACTTCCGATACCTTGCTGAAGTTGCATGTGGAGATGACAGAAAACGTAAGTCTACTGTGAGCTACTCTGAGCATGATAGAAAGCACGCTTCCTTTTAGGATGACAGGAGAAGAAAAGTGATCTAAAAGGGTTTGCACATGTTAACTTACACAATTGACTCTTACGCAGTGCAGTAAAAGGGGGAGGGCCTGGGTTTGGATCTGAGAACCATGCCAATTTCCAAAGTTTCGTTGGATTTTCATGTTCTAATTTGATGAAAGCCTGATCACATAGTGCACTGGAGTGCAGGCTGGTAGTCTTTCTAAGTGGATCTTGTGGAGAACAGCTTATCCAAAATTTTCCAGACTGAAGGTAAAATGTTATCAGTGGCTTAAGCAAAAGAGTAGAGATGCTGTAATTGTGGGCATAGGACCTCACTTACCAGGAACACCTAACAAGATATAGATTAGACCAGTGGTTCCCAACCTTTTTTATACTGTGGACTGGTACGGGATTAGGATGGGGTGCACAGAGCTGCTGCCTCCCCAAGGCTGCCCCACTGTCCAGCTTTAACCCCACACATGACTGCTGGTGGTGGAAGTTGCTTGCCCAGGCAGGCAAATGGGGGTCTGAACTGGGGGCTCATGCCATGGCTTGGTAGCCAGCCCTTCATGGCCTGGTGGCTGGGAACCTCTGGATTAGATGGACAGAAGCAGCTGCTTCTTCCCTCCCTCTGCTAGCTTTCTAAAGTCTGTAAGAATGGTGATGCTGTCAACCTCCACGTATGATTGAATAGGCAAAAGTAAACTGTCCAGTTTAGATCTCTTGGATAGTATTAGGTAGTGTACTACCTTTTGATTCTAGTTTTTCTTGCTTCTGGACCAGCAGAAGCATAGGCTTTGTAACCCTCAGTACAGCGGTGACATGTAGGGGCTGCACATGCACCCCATGAGAGCACTGGTGTGCCCCCTGGCAGCCAGCACTCCCCGGTTAGGCAACAGGCAGGCGGGAATGCCGGTGCCCCCCCATAAGTGCCAGCCGGAGAGTGGGAGCACCAGGAGAAGCGCCGCTGGCACTTCTGGGAACACTGCTCGTGCTTCTGACTGGCCACTGGAGGCACCAGTCGCCTATGCCTCAGTGGGTGTAAGATTTCACTAATGGGGTCGGAAGAAACAGCCTGTCACTTGATACTGTCCATCCAAAAAACATTTGCAGTCTACATCTTCTTTGTCAGTACAGTTGCACAGATGGTCACGTTAGAAAGCTGCTCCCCAGAATAGTGTTCAAAACTAGATATACAGAAATACGTACTGCAGTGAGGGACAGAATTATCTTGCAAGGTGACTAGATGCTAGTGACTGCTGTGAAAAACAAGATATGTTCACAAAATATGTATCAGTCTTGGGGGCTATCCCAAGACTGAAGGGAAATTTGGCTATCAGGATCTGATGAAACTCCTGAGCGACTGACACTAGCTCAAACGAAACAGTTTACTGACAATGGGGGAAAATGAATGGCCTTTTAAAAAAAAAAAAGTGGTAATAGGACAGAGCTGATTCTCATTTGTACCAAGTACCTTTCACAGGGTCTGAACAGGTCCTTAAATTTAAATGTATCCAAATTTACAGTGCTACTAGGAGGAGCTGGTGAACTGAGAATTGCTTCTGAAATTTTAAATCCTTTATCCCCTACTAAGTAAGAGTAGCAGAAAGTCAAAGTTTGTTACAGCAATAATAGGTGAGCTTCATAGACCTTATCTAAATGCAGTCAGACTGAACATTTGGTTCAGTATCCACAGTAATATTCTGACCTACATTTTAAATTCGGCAAACTTAGAACCACAATGGCTGTCTAAACACAAGTTGCTCCCATTTAATTTTGGTTTAAAATCTTCTTGAGTTCAAAACGTACAGACCTCTGTATCTCTTGAACTATAAAGTTGTCTGATATTGTTTTCTTCTATGCAAAGAGCCTGCTCTTGGAGAAATGCCACACGCATTCCTCTCTTAATAGATATGCTTTCTAGATCAGGTTTGCAGCATTAGTATCTGAGGCTACCCCTGCATTTCAACCACCCTTTTGTTTCCTGTAGAAAGCATAGAGAATATGGTGGCCACAGCATGGTCCCAGACTGCAAGATGTCTTTGTTCCTTGCCTCGAGCAAGTTAGCCAATACAGTTATGTTTAGGAGTGATGAGATGAAGATTTTGCTTTTGCAGTGTGCATATTAAAAACTCCCCAAAAACAAACTCAACTTTTAGATTTTGCAAGAACAGTTTTCCTGTAGAGGTGAATAAGGTGTTTATTCCCTCTCTTTTTCTGTACAAGGAGAACCTGGAAAATTAGACATACACAAATCTACTTTAAAAGAATATAATTGGTATTGCACAATTAGGTAATTTGAAAATTAAGACATGTGAGACTTAAGGTTAATTCTCAGTCTCTTTGTGCATATAGGTATATGCATATGATACTGTAATTAAAGGCTTACACGTACTACTTTTTCCAAAGGATCACTTCATTCGGTACATGAACTAGGTGTTTCCCATTTTTAACGATAAACTTTTTCCATAACTTACTTCCGTGCCTTTAGAAATCCCAGTAGGAATCTTTGTATCTTTTAGATATATAATATCTGGCCCTTTTATCCTTTAGTTCGTAGAGCTTATTCTCACCTGTTTTTATTCATAGATTGGAAAGGCTAAAACAAGCTTTTCTTTCATTTCCACTCCTAGTCATTTTCTTATCTATGAATAATCTAAATGAAGAAAATATTCTTGGCACCTGCTAGGAAAATTGAAAGTAATTAGTGCAAAAGCCACTGTGCGTAACAAACAGGAAATGCTGACTTTTCCAAAAGTGCCAGCATTTGCTCCATGGTGAAAACTGAAGATAATATTGATTGTGACATACTTTAAAATTTATTTTTTAAATTAAAATCGATTTTTATTTTTCTCCAGCCTGCTGGCTCAGTATCCCAGGGATCCTTTGGTAGAAATGGTGCTCAACTGCCTTAGCCCTGTGAATGTTTTCTCTCTTCCTGAAATCCCCTGCTTTGTTTGCTCTATGCCTTGGAGGAGCAGTGGAAAGTTGGGGGGGGTCATTTTCCTCTCTTCCCCCTTCCCATCCCAAGTCCCCCTTGTGAGTCTTGCTTTAGCCAAATAACTTCTCTACCTTCCTTGATATTTCATGGTAATGTCCCCTAAAACTAGTTAGGATCCTGGCTCCTAGCCCCCTCCTCCCTGCCCCTTACCCGGAGGGGTGGGCCTAGGCCCATGCCTTTCAGCTTCACCCTGTTATGATACAAAATTCCTCCACAAACGGGTCAGGGGATCCTATAGACAACAGCTGCCTTCACCATGAGAGCTGCTTTCTTCCTCAGAGCAGGTCCTTATTCATGAATGAGGTAGGATGTGGTAGCATGTAGTTATGTAAGGAGGTGTTCTCAGTGTGTATACACATCAGAGCCCAGTTCTTGTATTTCCTAACTTGTGTTCCACCTAACGCAGATTTTTTGCTGTAATGTTTCAGATATAAACTTGCCATCTGTAAAGTGCTGATAATTGCACCAGTTTGAGTGGGTTTAAAACCATTTTCTTGATCAAAAATCCTCTTATTTTGGAGCTGTGTTGGTCAGGCATATGCTTTCCCTGTACCCCTGTTTGAATCTTGATGTTTCTGTTTTTCTCAATAGAAACAATAGAAAATTCACAGGGAGCTTATCAGGAGGCGTTTGATATCAGCAAGAAAGAGATGCAGCCGACGCATCCAATTCGCTTGGGCCTAGCTCTTAACTTTTCTGTATTTTACTATGAGATCCTCAACAACCCTGAGCTTGCCTGCACGCTGGCTAAGACAGTAAGTTGCTTTATCTTTTCTGGGATGTGGGTGAAAATTTATTGCGAGTAATGGACACTAAACTGATTAATTACTAGAGTCTGTACAGTAAATCCAGTTTTATTTCATGTTTTGATTTGTAAAATCTTATTTTCAATGGCTTTAAAGGGACACTGTCACCTTAAGTTTACTCTGACTTGTTACTGAAAATTTTAAATGTACCTGAGTTGACTGAAAGGTTAAATTTGAGTGTTTGCTTTGTGTGCAGTCATATTTCACTTTGTATAAAAATTAAAGATGACTTAATTATTCTAGGCTTTTGATGAGGCTATTGCAGAACTTGATACACTGAATGAAGACTCATACAAAGACAGTACTCTCATCATGCAGTTGCTTAGAGACAACCTAACAGTAAGTTAGATATTTTTCTTCCAGTTGGCCCTATTGCAGTAAATGTGTAATGGTTATTAGTCCTTATATATGTGATGAAATGAAATCATTGTTTCACTCTAGCACTGAACCTCTTGATATTTAGCCCTTTTTTGTATTATCATAGTCTTATTATGAATAGGTAACATCTGATTTAACTTTAGTTTTTTCATTCTATGCTGCATTCAAGTTAAATTTGTCTGACTGGCAGCTTCAGGCTACTTGGTCAGAATTGGTAGCATGAGCTGGTTGGCTTTTATGTAGCCAAAAGTAGCCTGTTTACAATTACTGCAGTATAAGACCAGCAGGCTATTTTTACTTGGCAGATAAGGTGGTAGGTGTGAAAAAGGATGACTCTGCACCAGTTAGGGGCTTTCTACTGAGGAACCCTGTTGGGCACTAACTCGGAGACAAAACTTGTTTTTTTGATATCTGTGAAATTCCAGATTAAAGTACTGGCTGATTTACTAATTGGTGACTAGATTTGTCAACTGGTGCTCAGTTAAGTATTTTAAGAATTAACTGTTACATTAAGAACAGACATCTATACTTGATAGGACTCCTAAGTTCATTAAAATATTGTCTCTGACAGTTGTAACACACTGCACTATGGATCCACTTAAAAGTTCATTCTCGTGGAGTGTCATTCTCCCTTTCCTTCTCAAGAAACCTTTTTACACGTCTCCATTCCTTTATAGCTCCACTTGGATTTCCTATAGCAAAGGTACTGTCAGTTCCAGCAATATTCCTTATCCTTATAAATGAGATATTTTGCTAGATTTTTTTTCTTTTTTTAGAATACCCTCAAGGAGCAGTGAATTTTCTCCTTAATTGTAAGGCGGAGAATACTTAATTTTCCATTAAATGAATTGTCATCTTTTGAGGCAGAAAGTTGTGCTAAAGGAAGATATCTTGATGTTTTATGTGAAGTTATTGAGTACCAGTTAAACAGACTCGTTAAACTACGTATTGGCCACATGCATAGCTTGGCACTGTACATTAAGCACATCTAGGTTTGCATTTGCTTAGCACTGTCTCCATTTTAACCATTTTAAGACTGCACAATTTTATGTAGGTAGCTGTACCTCCATAGGTGGCAAGCCGCTTACTGTTGGCTGTGCTGGCTGGAAGCAGAGCTGGATAGTGCGAAACTTAACACATTCAGAACTTCTTGCCTGTAGCTTTTGACTTAGGAATGAGACTGCCAGGCAGGTTAACATGAATGATAGATGAGTAACTCTGCAAGTTGATGTGATTTTTTTTTTTTTTTTTTTTTTTTTCTTTTTTTTTTTT